AAAAGAAAAATGTTATCTCGGACGTGCGCAAGTTCGTCAGCGGAAAAACCACGAGAATCGCACTGCGTTTTCAAAACTCAAACTTGTTCGATTCACTCGCCTGGTACTCTCGACTTCATTTCTATGTAGGAAACCCACGAATCTTGACATGACTTATGCGTAACTGTGGTTTCGTGCTTTCTAAAGCCAGATTCTTTGTCCAGAGCTTTTTTCCAGTAACTGCAGCCACAGCTGCCAAACGTGGATTTCTCATTCGCTTTGGTAGAGAACATTCTACAATGATATCAAAAAACGGAATCAACTTGGGTGCTGTATTCTAGCCAAGGAAATAACCTATACCAGTCAGACTGAAAGTTTACAGTCTTTTTTCTTTACTTTTTCAGTGGGAAAGAGTTCACTATCGGCTGCCGCGGCGACTCTGTCTTATACTTGGAAATGTCCAACTGACCTGAAAGATCGTCGTTTCCCTCCAATGCGGTACAAGTTCGTCTCGTCTCACGCACGAAGAAGAAAACTCGTTGAACAAAAAGTTAGGGCGCAAACAAGCTGGTGTAGATTTAACATTTTGGACAAAACCCCGAGACTGGGGGGGAAAAGGACAACACAACACAAAGTCTCAAATACAGCTGCAGTTTATTGGACAGAAGATTGTGGTTTTATAGGGCACAGGTGCCCGGAAACCGGTTCCGGGCACATGCCCTATAAAACCACGATCTTCTGTCCAATAAACTTCAACTGTGTTTGAGACTGTGTTGTGTTGTCCTTTTTTCCCCCCAGTCTCGGGGTTTTGTCCAAAATGTTAAAACTCGTGGCTTTCACTGTTCCTTGTTCCGACGAAGGATGATGGACGTCGCTAGAAGCGCTAAGCAGGCCATCGGGAAGACTGTACGGCTGGGGATGATCCTTCCGCTGCTGCTCGATCTCCAGGTTTTCTGAACCTGAAGAGGGCGGTTCGGAAGGGTCGCCGTCCTGCTTCTTGACGCGCTTGTTGGAAGACGAAAAAAAAAAAAAAAAAATTGCGGTTGATCCCCTTCGCGATTTTGTGTCTCCTTTGGAGTCTTGAAATCTGGCTCAGCTGCGCATGTTCGGTTCAGCAGCGTAATTGTTGGGGCACTTTTTTCGTGTCCGTCATCCTGGTAAAATTTGGCACCGAGGCTCAAAACGTAGCAGAGCAAGAATGGCCCTTGAAAATGGCTTGTTATGTTGAGACCGGCAAGACCAGTTTGGTCCAGGTGATAGTTTATGGCCCCGCCCTTGGGACTGTCTTTGTATCCTTCTGAATGCTTTTCAAAGATTCTACTGGGGAATCCCAACAGACAGATAGACAAACCGGCGTTGTTTCCTACGGCCTCGCTTAGAGTCCTGCTCACCTCTTTCCCCATTGCTTTTGGCCTTTCGTGTTTTGAGCAGCAGTGCACTCGATGCCACCGCAGGGCAAGCGGTGCGTTCCGCGAGCACTATGGCCGCCGTGTCGCCTCCGATAGGTCGCGCGGCAATGGCACACACCCAAAAGAGGAAGAACCTTCACGTTTCCTAGAACAGATTACATTCCCCAGGAAGTGAGCGGAACAATCGAGGGCCCACTTACACCAAGACAATCCAATTGAAAGAAGGAAATTACGCTGGACGGTGGGATGATACCTACAAGGTTGAACTCCTGGATCTCGCAGCCGCGCTATTGAGTGTGGAAGCCAAGGCATTAGTAAAATCCTTCCAGACGACCAGCCGAACCGGCATCGTCTACCAAGCGAGGTCTCTCTCACCTCTTTCCACCTTGCTTTCGCCTGCACATGGTGCCGCCGCGGGACGGTGTAATCCGCGAGCAACATCAGCGCCGTGCCGCTGCTGAAGGTCAAGCGGCTATGGCACGCACCCAAAAGAGGGAGACGCGTCCGGACTTCGGGAATTCTTCACGAAATCCAGAAAGCTTATTCTGGACGAAGGGGTCCTGCAGGGCCCGCTTCCACCGAAAGAAGTCAATCAAAAGTAAGAAAAGTACGCTAGACGGGAGTGGTATGTATCTTGTAAAGCTGTTTCTTCTAAAAATAGTGTCGTGCTTCTCTATTCTTATATTTTATTTGCCTGCTTTGGCTTCCAAGGACGGACGCCTGGCTTAAAAGGACGGATGCTCCGCGTTTATAGCTAAAGTGCCCGTAATGTGCGAGGTTAACTTTCCTTTTGGGAAACCATGACCTTTGCTTTGCGGACTGAACTCCCCCCCCCCCCCCCCCCCCCCCCTCCGACAGCTTTTTTTGGGGGGCAGGAAGAAATTTAAGGGGGGCGGCTGCCCACCCTTGCCCCCCTGTAGAGCCGCCCCTGCTACTGTCACAGTCCACGGAAGCTAGTGCAGCCGGAAGTTGGGACGCCTGAAACGCCGAGACGACAGCGACACTCGCGTTCGCTCGTGCTTTTCGCCAGAATTTCCACGGCCAACCGCCAGGATCGCGATAGGCAACAGCATGGCACTCCGGCTTCTGTGACATCATTTGCTGCCACTTGGGGACCACTTTTGATGTATGGGCGGAATAGGACGCTAAACACACCAGTCGGAGACGCGCTCCAGGCACCATTAGGGTGCCTCGATGTGCCTCTGTCATAGGGTGAAGACACCCATTGTTGTATTGAAAACTGCCTGCACGTGTCGAATGGGCGTTAAAATGGCGCCGAAGCACCGGGCAGAGCTAAGCGCTCGCTCCGAACGAGGTCGAAGCGCGTGCATTCTGGGCATAGAAATGGCCAGATGCCGCCACCCTAAGACAGACGAGGCGAAAGTATATGAAGGCTCCCTAATCACCATCTGGGCACCATTAAAGCCCCTCGATATGTTTTCGTTTGTCTTTGCAAGTAGCGCAAAATGCGCGAGCGCACGTGGACCAGGTCTCGAGCGGCCCTTGGAAGCAAATGGCGGCGAAGCACTGAAATGAGCGGCCCTTGGAAGCGAATGGCGGCGCAGCACCCGCTCGTGGCACGTGTCTTGCGCATTCCCGCAATAATGGTTGGCGGTACTTGTGAAAACACCTTTATCAATGGGGCTTTAGGCACCATAACCAAACAGCGCCACCCGCCACCCCTCAGCGACTATTGCGAAATGGCACCGCGAGATGGCGCCACCGGCCCTTGAGCGATCCCCGCTCTGCGAGTTGGAGTGCGGCCACCGGACGGCCATCTTGCATCCCGAAAAGTAGCGTTTCTGGAGCGTTGCGGAGGCTGGCGGCAGCGTGCTCAAGACACATTTTCGTGTCGTTCGCTGAAGTTCTTTAAAACCGTGTGTAAGCCGTGATACCTGCCGTTGAGAACACATAAAATTTTTTCCAGAAGCTCTGCGGCGTACCAAGGAAGCTTTGATCACGCCGTAAGACCAGCGAAACTTGTTTTCGACGAGTTGCGCCTTTTTCCTGCAGCACTGCGCTCACGTAAAAATTTGCAGGTGCTCTCAACGGCAAATCTCACGGCTTGCGCAGGGTTTTAAAGAAGTTGTTCGGCGAATGACGACGGACGAGTAGAAAACGTGTCTTGAGCACGCTGCCGCCAGCCTCCGCAACGCTCCACTTTTTCCAATCGGGCTTTATGGCAGTTACCCAACCTGAAATCACAGAGAACGCTTTTCCGTCCTCCACAAATGTTTAAGCAGTTCGTGACAGACTAAAACAATATTACATGCACTTCCTAACACCGAATGTAATGCCGAGGAACAGAGGAAGTCGCACTTATGAATCATGGTGCTCGGCAGTTGCGTCTGTCCTGTACCGTAAGCACCAAGATCTCGACGCCCACAACAATATCGGAGAACGGAGTGCCGATGCCTCGGGTCCGGCGGCGGGAATCGGGTCCCAAACTGGTCCGAGCACACTCGTCCCCGGCGGGAATGCCGCCCAGCACTCTCGTCGGCACGGGGGAAAAGATGGCTGTCTGAACGTGTCTCTACTGTTTCCAGTTTAGCCGAGTGAACGCTGGAGAGCGCTGGACAGCAGCGTCCGCTACGGTCCACCATACGATCGACCGTAGCGCAGGCGCAGTAGCGGCTTCTTCATTGTGGAGGGCTTAGCGAAGGGGGAAACGCGGTCTACGAAAACTCTCTAATAGCGAGTTTTAGTAGACCGTGTTTCCTCCTCCGCTAGCCGTCCGCTACGAAGAAACCACCACTGCGCCGATGGCCTTGGCTGTAGAGTTCCGGGTAGCGGAGGGGCTTAGCGGAGCGGGAAACACGGTCTACTAAAACTAGTTTTCGTAGCCCGCGTTTTCCCCTCCGCTAAGCCCTCCGCAACGAAGAAACCGCTACTGCGCCTGCGCGCCGATGGCCTTGACTGTAGAATTTCGGGTATCGCAGCGGGTTGCGGAGAGAGTAGCGGGACGGCGAAAACCATCTACGAAAACTCTCTATTCCCAGGACTGCGCGTCGTTGTATCCCTCCCGGCGGTCACACGACACTCACGCGGCATTGAATTGGCTCCGATGGCTCGTAACGTCCGCTGCGGTCCAACGTGAGGTAAAACAGACAATAATAATAATAATAATAATAATAATAATAATAATAATAATAATAATAATAATGATATAGTCCGTTGCAACTCAAAGAGTTAGAAAGAGGGTAAGACGGGCCGGGGAGGAGGGAGCAGACCTGATGCTGCTGCTGGTGATAATAATATATTTAATCAACCCTGGAGGGTCGTGACACCACAGAAAGGCATTGGGAACATACCCATACCTGGCCCAATCCTCGGCCGCATGATAGACCAATGAGACACTCCTTCAACTGTCCTGGACTTCAGAAGTTGAGATTGCTTAGGTCGCAGTCACACTGCCAATAAATACATCGTACAAAAGACAGTCTGCACACGCTGCCTGAGGCGTGTTCCTTTCTTGCACGACGCTCCTGGGACGTTTGTCAAAGTCATACAAAAACGGTCTGTAGACATGCTCGGAGAACACCTGTGTATGTGCTTCGAACACGTGCTTTGTATGATGCATGGGCAGTGTGACGGCGACTTCTGGGTTTCAATCACGTTTTATAAGCTTAAACGGACACCATACACTCAAACACACATAGTTTATTTGGCACGATCGAATGAAGGGGAGAAAAGTGGAAGACGGGAGTCAATAAATAGGACACACGAGGGGAGAGCTTCAGACGGCGTTGGCGTGCACGGGGTGGCAGTAGGAGCCCCTGTCGTCGTCGCAGGTCATGGGGCAACAGGCAAGTCCGGGCTCCTTGCAGTCCCCGCTGTCGTCGCAAGGATCGCCGCACTCGTCTACCACTAAGTTGGCCGGGCACGCTGCCAGGACAACAAGACAGCGGCACTTCAATCTTCGACTAGAAGCGAAACCAGAGCACACGGAGTGTCGGAATTAAACGCCGCTCCGAAACACGAATCCTATCTGTACCGTCTTTGCATTCACATTTGGAAAACCATTCTTTATACCACCCATAAAAAAAAATAAAAGAAAGCTTTCTACAGTAATATACGGTTGATAATAGTACACACGAAATTAGCCTTGCTCCGCGAATTTCAAATTTTTTTTTTGCAAAATTACAGTATATATATATGTCGTACATAGAAACATAAAAAAAAGGAAACAACTTTTAAAGTGCACGTGACCAACGCAAATTCAAACTGCAGTTTGCGCGAGTGCTTTCAGCGAGCGTTTTGAGCTTACTCGGAAAGGGACTTGAGCAGAACTTTCCCTCATAGCATGCCCGTGCCACCATCGTCGTGGCCTGTTTCGTAGCGGTCATTCAACAGTTCACGTGCCGTTTATGCCTCATCCTAATTCCTACTTCTCCCCGAGAGGAAGTTAAAATTACACTCGGGCCTTACAGGCGAGGCACCCGTGTAACGTACCAGGATGCATAGTAAGAGCTGGCTCCTTTCGAAGAGGAAACTTCTGCGCGTCATCTGTAGCCGAACACGACCTTGATCGATTCAGACAAAATCAAAGCAGCTGGAAGCAGCAAGTATCGACGTCACTGGTATCGACGTCACACGAGACGCAGTTTGATCCATGTACTATTTTCTGAATTCAAGTTCCGAGAAACCCGAGACACCAATCTCGCGCGTGTTGTAAAAAAAAAAAAAAAAAAAGCTTTAGGTTGTTTTAAGTTCCGCGAAGACCAGGTCTCAAAACCAGCATGCGTGAGCGAGGCATAAACTACAGTCCAGTGTTCCTCTGCACGCGGTCCCTCCACAGTTCACTGTCCCAACACTACGCGGCTGCGACGGTGGCAAACATTGGAGAAAGAGAGAGAAAGAAAGAGAGAGCATTGCATTGCAGACTGTCCTGATTGTGAATACGTGTTCGCACGTCAAGTCACGTACCGCAGGCAATAAATCGCTATCCAAACAATTAGAAAGACCGGCCCCACAGCCCCACTGCGGTTTCAAAAAAGATTTAGGGAAACGAAATAAAACAGCAGTGTTATTTGGAAACAGCTATAAAATGTTTTCGCGTCTTTTTGGCCTTATCCACGAAGTACCTTGGAAGCCGTCCGTGCCCGCGATTGCCTGTAATTCTACCTTTACACAAATCTTGCAAGCTTAATAGAAAATTTAGACAAAAAAAAAAAAGGGGGGGGGGGGGGTTTAAGATGTTTTGAATTCATCCTTGAATTCCACATGTGTAAAAATTTTGAAGAGGAGGGGGGGGGGGGGGTATGGAACACCTGATACTCTGGCTCCCCATGCTTATATGATCATACAGGTTATGCTTGGACGACGAAGTACTTAAAGCCACTGAAAAAAAAAAGAAAAAGAATAGTCGGAGAAACGTTTTGCATTTTAGCGACTACAGGCCGGAGAACAGACACATTTTTATTTTCGCCCAACCTGGATATACCAGGATTAAACATGGCAGTTCGGCTTTATGGTAACCTGTCCAGCATGATGGCAAGAGTGGACGCCTGGATTTTAAAAGGCGCTTTGCTTGAGTGAGTAGTCGTGGGTGTAAACAAGGTATGTTGCAGGACTAACCGCTCATTCACACTGGAAGCGGATCCGCGGTCGCAAAGCGGTTGCGAACGCGGTTGTATAAAGATCCAGTGCATTTGCACGCGCGCTCGATGACATCAAATGCGCGTGCAATTGTACTGGATCTTTATACAACCGCGTTCGCAACCGCTTTGCGAACGCGGATCCGCTTCCAGTGTGAATGAGCGGTAAGGCTCGCGCGCGAACGCGTACCTCTGAGTGTGCAAAATTAATACGCCTCGCAAGTGGGCTCATTTTCGTCTTCTGCGCATGAGAAAGGAAGTAGTGGTGACGTCAGAACGCTGAGTCCTGATTGGCTGATCGCGACCCCCTATTGAGCGTCGTCTGCTCCTTTGCAACGTCGTCTGCTCGCAACATCGTCTGCGTCTGTCTTACCTTTCCATGCATGCGACTTTCGGAGCGAACTCGACTTCGCCTTTAAGAGAGGGCAGACGAAATAACTCGAGCGGTACGTTGTTTTCGTCTAACAACTAGCAGACGCGCATCAAGGAGGGAAGTCAAAGGACTCACGGCGAGGTGTCCCGGGGCGCCGATGTTTGTTTGCTTAGAACCGAGAGTGAGCGTGTTAGGGCCCGCAAGTTCCCTCCCGAACACTTTTTCCCTCCATTCATGTGCGGCGAGACCCCTCACTCTTTAACGGCGCCGGCGGCTTGGCGCAGTTAAGGTCGTCTGCTTTACGTCTGCTAGTCAAAGCGATGGCTGCTTTACCTTTCCTGCGTCTGTCGGGGATTCACCGCTTTTTAACCGGCGAGAGTCACCGTTGCCTCGGTAAGCAAGGAAATAACAAGAGGAAGAAATTGACCTCTTCATCTAAAATTGAGGTCAGCGATCAAAGTATAACACGGGAAGGGTTCACAAGGGTCGCGCGGGCATATTCCATTCAGCACGTCAGCCGGTCGTGGGCAGACGGTCGCCGAGTCGCGGAGTGCCTGCTAGGCCCAACTGCCCGGCTCGTTTGGTCGCGTTCGGTGAAATCGTGGCCGTTGGAGCTTTTCACCGGTGTCTGTGGATCCAGCGTTCTTGTTCGTCGTGCTCTGTTTCAAGTAATTTTTACTTTTTTTCTTGCTGCTTAAAGTCAGGACGCATGAGAAGCTCACGTAGAAAAATAAACGTCCGTGGGTCGTCGCGACCGCGACGCTGTCGGCCATGCTGAGTTGATCGTAAGAAGTGCGTAAGGCAGCTTCGGAGCTGTTGTAGGATTTCGCCGTAACCTGCGCAAAACTTACGAAACTTTGGTTTCGTGAATACGAATTTGTTCTTAAGTTTTGTCTTACGCACATTTTTGGTGTAAGATCGTTTCGTGAATCTGGCCTCTGCACTTCCGAAAGTCGCAGGAAACGTAAGACAGACGCAGACGACGTTGCGAGCAGACGACGTTGCAAAGAAGCAGACGACGCTCAGATAGGGGGTCGCGATCAGCCAATCAGGGCTCGGCGTTCTGACGTCACCGCTACCCCCTGCGCAAGGAGCAGACGAACTTGCCCTCCGCATTGTTTTCCTGAGCACTCAGGCAAAGAAATCGTGAATTCTCTACACATTCACGTCCCACAACGCTGCTCCACTCACATAGACGAAAATGACCTATAATAAACTAAAACCGGCCTCTTATACGTATGGCTACATTTTGAACTCGGATATACGAAAGGCTGGGCTAAAGCCTCAGCCTTTTGTGTGATTTCGGCAATGGAAAGCTAGTCGTTTCGCGCGGTAGTCTCTTAGCGTGACCCAGAACTATCTGCAGGCAGGGTTTAGTGGATAACATAAACTAACTCAAACTCACAGATGCAAAAAAGGAAAAAAGAAAAAAGACGCAAGATGGAGTGTGGTGAGAAACTGAGAGAGGAGGAAGTGATAGTGCGCGGGGGCGTCAAAGTGCCAACAGGGTTCGCAAGGGGGCCCGATTAAGTATATGTCGCAGCCTCGAGGGCCGGAAGATAAATAACCCAATAAAAATGAGGAAATAATAAATAATTAAATCCAAATAAGCGCCAAGCACCTAAATACAAAAGTAAAACCAGAGCAAACTTTTTGCTTTAAACAAGGAGAATGAATAGATACATATTCTTTATTTTTAAACTTGAGGCGTTGTTAGTTACGACTACCAAATAATTGTGAGCTATAAAAAACTCACAAGGCATAAATCGAAGCGCATAGGAACTTCGGCACATTCCCGGAGGCTAGAAGACTAAAGAGAATGATGAATCTGATGATGACAATATGCGATAGTGGTGGCACAGGGCTCTAGGCACGACATACACGAGAACGCAAATTAACAAAGCTACACAGACATGTAACACAGGACTACGAAGAGTAACGCTGGTGATGACGCACCAATATGGCGAGGAACCCGCGCTTTGGTGCAGTTTTCTCCCATTTCTTCTGATATCTTCGTTGGCGCTTTTATAGTGCACGTCGCGGCGCTGTGCTTCTGTTCTGCTTTGTATTTATGTGCGCTTATTTTTTTTCCGTTGGTATCAGCAGGGTGCGGATCGCGGGCATCACTGGAAATTCCGCGGCACCGCGGCCATCCGAGGGCCGGGGGTTGGGGACTCCTGCTGCCTGCTCTAGCTGATTGGAAGGATAGTGGGTAGGCGCAAAGGCTCGCTGCCTTTTGTCTCAACACAATGTTCAAACGCGTTCGAACACGTGTTCGGTACCGAAGGGCGGAGCCTGGCATTGGAACGTGAGACACTGCGCGAGTAGGCGACGCATTTGTTCGCTGACAAATGCAGGTATAGTTGGTGACAGGTTAAGATTAAAGGGGATGCCCCCAGCTCCACCTCTCTCCACTTTAGCAGAGCGCCCACTGGAGAGGAGAAAAGGGAGAGAGGTGGGAGACCACAGTCAAATTTGCGCCTATCCACTACCTACTCGGCACTCTGACGCCCTCCACGCGCTCTCGTGTCCTCGTCTCTCAGTTTCTGGACCAGTACGTCAGCAGTTTCCTTAGGTGTTTTCAGTTTTCAGCGCTTCTCCTGTCCAGTTTCCTACATGCCCTTTGTCTTTCGCGCTGACTACTTTTGTGATGTTGAACCGACTGGGCCATCAGCGTATATTGCTACATTTTGTTGCTAGATGCGAGCACAATCTCATAAGCTGTGCGCTACGTATTTGATGGTAACAAATGAATACTGCGAATGATAACATACCTGTTCGCGTCGCACAGCTCATATATAAGAACCAAATGGTGGACGGAACTATGTCAATTCGTTCAGAGTTCTGCCGAACAAAATTCGTCGGCAAATCTTCGTAATTTTTTTTTTTATACTCGAAGTTCTTGAGGCTACCTGCGATGCCCCAGCGATTCCTCGAGGAAGGAATCACCGTCGTTATTAGAATCCACCACTTTCGGAAGATCTGGTGCTGCATGTCATTAGGGAGGGAAGGGGAGAAACTTCTTTGTCTGAACTTGGGGGCGAAAGAGAAGCTCTGTGGCACTTTTGACGACAGGTGGTGTGTGCTCGCCAAATCGCTTACATGCGGTTTATACTTTAATCGGCGTCCATGCACGCGCCCGAAAAAAATGTTTGCACACGCTCGTACCACGCCCACGCAATTTCATACCGACAAACTCTCGAACCGCGAACTCGGAAAATGGCGGATTGGGCGGGCGTGCGTACCGGACTCCGGCGAGGGTGTCTTGCTCTTGATGCACGAGCCGGTGAGCCTGGCCAGGGTGACGAGCCTGGAGACGACGCAGCAAGGCCTCTGCCAGCGGCGGGTGCCCGGGAAGGCGTGCTGGGCGCAGCAGCCGGTCTGCTTGCACTGGTCGCTCGTCTCGCAGGCGTGCATGAAGCTCAGCGGGAACGGGCACATCTCGTACATGCCGAAGCCCAGGTCCAGCTGTCGTGGGGACTCGCCGCCCTGAGCAACGGCATCATCCACCTGCGAGAACCCATTCTGGATGCTTCCCAGCCCTGACGTCGACGCATCGCGGGAACCATTCACAAGGACAGAGGAAGCGTATACGCAGCCAGGCGAGGTGGGCATCCCTCCTTCCCCGCTTCTGGTCAAATGGTCACGTGAGAGTCAAGTCGAGTGAAGAGATCCAACGAGTCATATCTCTCGACAAGTTGGATCTCTTGACTGATATTGAATCTATTGGCTATAGGAATCCCGCCCCCTTTCCCCCTTTGGCACAACGCTTCCCTCGCCTCAATAAAAAAAAAAAAGAAAAAAAAAGAGCATTACACGCGGGAAAGGATTTTCCTCTGGAAACAGCACGCGCCTAGCTTCCTGTGACTCTCCCCTATACCTTTAAAAATACCCGTTTCCCTTTCGCCTGCTCCGCACGTGCCATTTCTTACTCGCGGTCATACCATGTCACTGTCGGGACAAAATATTATTTAGGGGAAATATATGTTACATACATTTCGATGCAGTTCTCTCGAGATCTGAAATAAATAGATTTGGATAAAAAGAAATATAGAAACAGTTGGAGCGGAGACTTTAGACAGCATAAAGCAAAATCTGAAATTGCAAAGGGGAGAGGAGTGCCTTGGTTTGCTATTCACAAAACTGTATTCGAAATTGTCACGAATAAAGAAGATAACAAAACACAACATTTGTAATTTACCATACCAAGACAAAACACATGTCATTTGCCAAATGCTCCTTTCAGATTCCAGTCTCTTACCTTCTGAATAACAATACTGTGCTAACCTCACTTCTACATAAAAGTACCTGGGTGTCCACTTTTAGGCTGATTTATCGTGGAACTACCACATTGACCTCACCCTTGTTTCCGCTGACCGTCCTCTTGGATTCATAAAGCGCGGTTTTAAGCAAGCACCCGCTCATTTACGAAAACTTGCATATATCACTCTAATCCGCCTCAAAATTGAATATGCTTCCGCCATATGGGATCCTGAGAAAGCCTTCATTATAAGTAACATTCAGTCCCTACAAAACTCCCTACACGGCGAGATCGTCACGGACGAACTCGCCGTTGTTCGCGGCGATCTCGAACGTGCATGCAGGGTGGAAGGTCAAAGGACAAATGGGCGAAAGTGAGAATTCGCAACTTCCACGACCTCGCACTGGCGCCTATCAAAATGGCCGTCATCTGGATGTTCGTCGTAGAACAGAGGTACGAGGCTGGGTCTGCAACGAGTAAGTAATTCTAGTTTTGCTATATACGAGCAGTATTAGAGCCGTACTTTGATTTTTAACACCAGGAAGGGTGTGGGCAAGCACCCTTATTGTGAAGTCAATCATCCAGGAGCTAGGGAGCACAATTTTCGCACCGCGGTACCAGCATCGCTGAAAGTTGCGATTAGCTTTGGAGTTGCCGAGTAGCGTGGAGTGTGCGATCGTGCCGTGGCGAGACGAGCGTGGGCGAGCATGACGGAGCCAAGAATGAGGGAGCGTTCAACTAAATACCATGGTGTGACTAACTTGAGCAGTGTTGCCTGGTCGCCAGACGGAAATGATGAACCTTTGTAACTAAACCAAGTATGCAGGCGAGCTGGTTCAATCATAGAGCGCACATATAAAAACTCCTGAGGAAAAGGTCCACCATTTTTTCATGCATTCTGGCTGCCTCAAGCGGTGAAGCATGGAAGCATACCTTTCGGGTCCTACACACGGTTACCAACTGCCTTCGATTTCACGAATGTAATTACATCGTTAGAGCAGTTTCATGAACAATCCACGTACTTACCGGCGGAAAGATATTCGCGTTCCTTTCGAAGCTTTCTTTTTGCATAGCGCGCAGGTGTACGGCATCGCGTCAACGCAAAACTAAACCAGATAAGCGGCTTTGCGCTATAGTTTTGATAGGCGCGTCCCGGGAATTGACTCCGTAAATGTGACGTCATGGGTCCAAACAAACCGTTGCTAGGGTCGTTGTTATGGGCAAATACGTGTGGCTAGGTTTCGCTACGAAAACCCGACCGTTCAAAAATCGGGAGTAGGATTTAAACTTCTAAAAATCTGAGATATAGAAAGCTTGAATGTCATATATGTTTCGACAGAAGTGTGCCGGTAATCGCTTGTTTCTGAAATATTTACGGCTGCAACTTCCGGTCCTCAAGGTGCCTGCAGCAGACGACGAATGCAAGAAAAATGTCGTCGGCCACACGCCCGCCGGGCAAGCCGGCGGCGGCGTCTGAATCGGGTGAATAAAGACGATATTCTGATATTGCATTTGTTTGAAATATAATGAGTTTCAGACGCTTATAAGAATTCATATTGGGGTGCGATGCAAAATATGGTTTATCGAAAGTTCGGGCGTCGATCGAGATGATCGTCTGCTAAAAGATCGCATTGCACCCGTGAGAAAAGCACTTCAGGTGATCGGTTGAGATCCCAAATTTTGTTTGCGGACTCGCGCTATGGGAGGGTGGTTTGTACCTGGTTGTAACCATCGCGTGGAGAAAGATTCTTGCAGTTTCTTTAATTTCCGCAAAACGCGAAAGAAGTGGATAAAAAAACATAAGGTGAGTTTATTACAGATTGTACTCTCATCACAGGTTCGATGGAGACCTTCACCGAAAGAGCACATCCACTGAATTTAATGTATATACGAAAAAACAAAATTGCGATAGACATGCAATTTTTTAATCACCTGACAACCTCAATAATGATAATAACAAACAACTTACCTCGACAGCATACTATTTGTTTCTCATGCTGGCCTGCACTACGCCGGGAATGCACTTCAGGTCGTCGTCGTAACTGATCTGCATGACGCGGTTTGATTTTACGGAATTTTCGCCCCTCTGAACTAAGCTGGGTTCTTCACAGAAAAAGACGCTTATTGCGGAGGCCTCTACGGCCATGGCGATGCACTTGCTTGTGTTGCTCGCTTACCGACGCAATTCAATGAAGATGCCCGCTGCAACAGAGGCCAGCACTTCAGAAATGGCTTTCATCGTTGCAATACGATGCTGAGATGACAAGAACATCTTCGTAATTAGATATCAAGAAGTTGGGTTGCTTACAAAAAAAATATTTACTTGTAAGCGAAAATCTGGCCTCGTGTGGAGTCCCCATGCATTAGTTCATAGCAACGTCCCTAGCAACGGTTTGTTTGGACCCAGATGCCATGTTGTGACGTCCTCACTTACGGGGTCAATACCAAACCGCGTAACCGCCAGATTTCCGAGATTTTGATAGGAGGGAAGTTGATGCAGTGTAATGAGTATATTCCTTTTCATAAGCGTTAGAATAGCTCAGAACTTAGTTTACAACAATAAATTATCACTTTTTATCCTGCTGAGAGTTTTCAGTCTTCGCGATTACCATTGCGACTGTTGTCCTTCAGCTGGCCACATTGACTTCTTTCTCTCGTGCCGAGAGCCGACATCTGGGGTCCCGAGTGAAAGATCGCCTGGGGTCCCGAGTGAAAGATCCCGCTTTTTCGCGATCTTTCACTCGGGACCCCAGATGTCGGCGTTTGCTACTCCTCCTCACCCACCTGTACCCCCTGCGTTCAATAACGACATGGCAACACTACGTAGCCTATGAGCATTCAGTGAGAGGCTAGAAGCAGACTAAAAATGCGAAGTCACGGAGCATACACTGGCCATCTGATGGCACACGCAGAAAAAGACAACGAACGCCATGACGTTGCGCTTTCGGCGATGCTTGAATGGCCCCATCAGCTCGTCGGCTGCGCTCGGACTTCTGGCGAAACGGAGTATGGCAGGAGACGCTTCGCCATGAGACTACCTTCGGGGCCAAGCTAGTCCACGGGTTATCTTGGCCCCAAAGGCGGGCCTTCCTTTCTCTGCCATCTCACCTTGTTGTTCGTGAGTGCAGTCCCGTTGCGGACCGGTGCGTCATGCAGCTCCGCGGCCGCGAGGGCAGCGGTCACCGGGGACGCCCCCAGCCAGAGCAGGACCAGCGACCAGCAGCAGCAGGCCCGCATGGTGTCACCCGTGGCACTGCCGCCGAGCGTCACGGGACTCCCGCAGCCGGGTCAGGGGAGGCAGGGGCGACCCTTCGGCAAACTGGTCGGCCGACGAGATTGGCCTCGCCGCGGTGTCGCCCGAGGAGCCGGCAGCAGGAAGTCGCCCGATTCTCACGTAGGCCGTCGATTACGGCCGTCGAAGAAGCCCCCTCGTTCATCGGCTTCGCTAATTCGGAGTGTATACGCTCGCCCAAATATCGGTTCGTTTGTTTAAGGACCGTTCTGGGACACTGAAACCAGGTCGCGTGCGTTTAGGCGGATGGTTGGAGGTGGTTTCGTGTGCAGTGGGGTTTGCGTATGCCACCCCCATCACCTAGGACGTGATGGGGCTGACTCGAGACATGGAGTCAAGCTTTTTTTTTGTCGGATCTCATTTGAATAGGACATTCAGTACTTCATTCGACAATGCGATAGGTTTGTCACGGCTTTCGGGCACGAAACTTTGTTGAGTGTAGTGCGATTGTTAACCTGGGGACTTTAATGTATATCACCAGGCGCAGTAGTGATCACAAGTGTGTCTCAAAGTTCTTATAACAACCTTTGTAATGCCCGATGACGACAGCACGTGATCGCCGCAATGAATTGCATTAAAATGGCGTGATCCAATATGGCGGCGAAGCGCCGCGAACCTAAAAATTTGAGTAAAACAACACTCTTCCAAGTGCTAAAAAAAGTATTAGCTGAAGAACACCGAAAGAATAAGACACAGGTGGGACTAGCGCCACTAAATAAGCTCCACTTATTTAGTGTCACAGCTCATTTAGTGGATCTAGGTGGGACGAGGGACAGCGAACAACTTTTCTTGGCAATGCAGAGAAAGGTACAGGCACGCGTTCCCTCTCCCATTTTGAGCGCTGAATAAAGCTGTACGCGAGCTCTCCTCGTCTCCCCGGAGTACAATTACAGTGTTCTAGAGACTTGTAGCAAAACCCTCGTAAAGTTTTTGTTTGTAGTGGAAAGCGCGGCGGCCGCCCCGTGAAGATTTTGCGCGTAGACGACACCGTAGCGCTGCTGTTCTGAGCCCCAGGAACGTGCCCCCGTCAGCCTCGTCGTCGGCGCTGCTCGGCGTGTACTACTGTGGTTCGACTGGAGCTTTTCGCGACGCAGAATAATTGCTAATGTGAAAAGATGTAGGTTTTCCGTTGGACTAATGCCTCTAGAGTGTGTGCTACCTTCTACTTTCATTATTCGCGTGTTTTTGATGGAGATCATTTGATTAATATCGACTCCCCCCCCTCCCCCCTTCCCAGTACTGACAGGTGGTTCAGCAAAGCTATCACTTGGGCTGCACACTTAATAGCTGAAAAAGAAACCACGCGATACTGATATAACAAGCAAAAATAGACTAATAAAAATCTCAATAAATCTGGCACTTTTTTAATGGTGAGAGGAACAGTAAACTGGTGTATTGTTTTTGTTATCGTGTTGCCGATGCGGGGACCAGCGTTGTGTAAGGTGCAAGTCCGAGCGCGTTTGGGAACGGCCAAGGTGCCACTGCAACTGGCGAACATATAGCAAATTGTCTTTTCTGGAAGGCAGTCTCTAAAGAAAAAAAGAAACAAAAAAAACCTCTACTGGGAGTACATAAAGTATTAAAGGGGTACTGAACCGAAATTTCGAGCTCACTAAACAAGGCCGGGCGGATAGGCGGGAAGCTACAAAACCAAAAAATATCACTCATACGGCGATTTATCTAACGGATCGCCGTATTTTTTGAAAAAGAAGTGCGCCATTGAACCCGGCCGACGAGGCCGACGAGACAAGGCACGTCACGATTTCAATTCTCCCTTCTCCTCGCTATGCCCCGTCAAGCTGGTGAACCGAAGCGAGGAGGAGAGAAGCGAGGTCGCTTCTCCTCATTCTCAAATTCTCCCGGAGGACAGTTACGTCAAAGAACTCGCTTGATTGCGCCGTTCTTTTACTAAGTACGGCCATCCGTTTGAGATATCGATGTACGAGTGATGTTTTGGAGTTCTTAGCGTCCGGTTTAACACTTCTGCAGCCTTACTTTGCGAAATCCAAATTTCAGTTCAGTACTAAAAATACTATTTGAACACAAACTTCAACAACCAATACTATGAAAAAAAAAAAAAAAATTTCAACTCGCTGCTTTACGACCTCTCAAAAGTGGTAATACGCTTCATTGACATACACTGCAAGCACACGACGGATATCCAGCAATTATACTACGCAAAAAGACTACAAAATAGTCATAATATATTGCGGCATATAATCTTAACCTCTTGGCCATTGACGATGTGCACATAGTCCCGAAGGATAAGGCGCGGTTTAAAATGTCTCTGGCACACCGCTGATGTCTCGGCGAGGCGTTTATCTTCTCGATTAAGATTTTTTTTTCCCACTGTAGTCTGCGCGACTCCTCCTTTGGCGCACGAAACGGCGACGGCTTGCGATCGCTGGTGCTCCGCGGCTGCCCTTGTTGACCAGGTAGCCCCACTTGCATCCCGGCGCGAAGCAGTGTGTATGTACAGTCGGGAGCAAAAGTTTGCGGGGCACGGGAGCGCGTGCCGAAATGCATCGCCGCGCCGTCCGACGGCGCGCCGCCGCATTAAAGAGACGAGCTTTGCGCATGCGCGCCTTTCGTGTTCGCATTCATGTCTCTTTCGCTCGTTTCTTTACGACGCACTCCTGATAACAGGAGTCGGCGCCAGGGGCGCGAGTTAGTGCTTCGCTGGCTGTCATGCTGCGCGTCTGCTTCAGCCGCCGCGCTTTGTCACGGAGCTCGCGTAGGGAAGGGGGGAAGGGGTTAACCAGGCGCTCCGTCACCCAGCGCGGCTGCTGTGGCGGCTGAAGAG